ATTAATTTTGTTGTTACTTTTTTAAGTTGAATTGTGTGAATAAAAACTGTCAACTAGCAGTAGTGCAATTAAATACTTAAATAGAGAAAATATTAAATATACAACCAACTGGTTGAGTAAATCGAAATAATTTTGTTATGATCTAGCGGTTGGCACACCGCTTTACTCACGGTGGTCGCGGATTCAGTTCCGAGAAAGATACATAAATTTGTATTCATGAGTAAGATTGTTTGTATCGGCCAGGATGCTTTCTACGTATATTATGTATTTACAAAAGCAAATGTATCTAAATATTTATATCAATTGTCTAGTACCCATTACAGAACGCTGCATAGTTTGCTACTAGATGGCGCTGTATAAATTGTCCAGGGATTATGATTTATTTATTTGTTTAACATCAAGAGCGTCGCCAATTTATTTGCATTCCAAAATTTCGTATATTTATACTCAAATTTAATAATAACATCAAACCATTAAAATATAAACCCAGGTGCTGGAAGGGTTTAGATTTCATGACTTTTTTACACAATAATCTAGCTGGTCTGACCTCATGCTGAACTTATCATGCTCCACTGGTGCGCTGTAGCTGGTCTGACCTCATGCTCAACTTATCATGCTTAAACCGCTAGCGCAGGCGGGTGTACCAATCCATTTTCTCACGAGACTACAGCATGGGGTTTTTCAAGAAGGGTATTTAGGTAGAAGGTATTGTATTAAGGTTTCTTAAGGATCGGTAACACACCCCTGGTGTTTCAGGCGTCCATAGGCTACGGTAACCGTTTACCATCAGATGGGGTGTATGCTTGTATGCCACCATAGTAGATTAAAAAAAAATTACCATAGTAGATTAAAAGAAACTACCATAGTAGATTAAAAAAAAATTACCATAGTAGATTAAAAAAAACTACCATAGTAGATTAAAAAAAATTACCATAGTAGATTAAAAAAAAATTAATAAACCATTACAATATCACGCTTCGTCAACACCTACCCCTAAAACCTCAAGTGTAACGCAATTGATGGATAACTAGATGTGCCCACGTCCACGTAAACTGTTGATACTTCCACATAACCTTTCATCTCCTCTTTCAACCCCTTACAAACATTTTTTCGGATTAAAAAGTAGCCTATATCCTTTCTCAAATTCTAGACTATGTGTGTACCAAATTTCATTTATATCTGTTCAGTAGTTCTGGCGTGAAAGCGAGACAGACAGAGTTACTTTCGCTTTCTTACTAATTTATAATATTAACAATTATGGACTGTGTGAAAGATGATATGGTGAGAAAGGGAGTAAATAACGGAATGACTGCGAACAGAGATGAATGGAAGAGAAAAACATATTACGGCGACCCCAAATAAATGGGATAAGGAAGAAGCAGATGATGATTAATAAGGAAGTAAGTATGATGATTTCCTTATATGACAAGCTGAATTAAGTTTTGCGTGATAAATATGTGTCCTAGAAAATAATGAATGTTATAAAAAATCGGATGTGGTCACCATAAAGAACTAGACGTATAACAAGGTCGTTTAATCAAAAAGGGTTGATCCGATCGCTGACCCTCGATACGGACAACTTACTTCTCAATTTTGCATATACGTCTTCAACATCATTGTGACCTTTATAACTATTGACATAGAGTTGATTGTTGTTTAATATTTCACTTTAATATTTCTAATATATTATTGGTATATTTTATTAGTAAATGCCAATAGTTTGTTGTATTTATTAAAAACACCTAAATAAATACAACAAACAATATTATAGATGTAGGTCTTGTGGTCTAGCGGTTTAGCACCCCACTCTACTTGAGGTAGCGGATTCGATTTCTCGCATGATCAATTACATTCAAGAGGATGTTTTTTTGTATAAATCCTTTATTCAAATAAACTTAATTTGAGCATTTTTTTAAACTACCGCTCATTCAGAAAGCTGTCTTTTAAATAATCGTTGTAACTTTACATTTTTAAGTCGAAACGTGTGAATACAAACTAATTTATTAGGGTCAAATATTAAATACACAATAAGATTAAATCAGTCGTAGTGATTAAAGCAGACCAGTCCCTACAAACATCACTCGTTCACTAGCATGACGGTTTGCTTGTATTGCTTTTTATCATGTATTTGCAGAAAAAATGAATTTATATATTGCTATCAATGTTCATACTATGTATGATTTGGCCTGGATCATTCATATTATTAAAATATAATATAATTTAATAATAACAAAATCTATCATATATAAATTAAAGCTTCGTCAGAAAATTAATCTCCTAATTTTCTTCGGTAACTGAAATTAACAGACTACGTAGACAAAGTCGTGAAAATTAACTAGTGTTTAAGATAATTCTAGTAGCCTTGCTTTTAAACATCTGGTTCGTATCCCATACCACCTGAAAGCGTCTTAGGAATACAATACCTAAAGTATATGTGTCTACTTATTGTATTGTAGGAGATCAGGTACCGGCAAATCGCTACATTTTCTCCGTATATACTAACTACATCTATACATATAAATAAAATTGAAGTGTATGTTTGTAATATTGAAATAACCGTTTTTTACTACATGCATATGCATATAGGTATCGAATGTGAGCAGCGCAGGGCTGATCGTTGTGGAGATCTTTGGGGATCTTTGTTCAGCAGTGGACGTCTTCCGGGCTGAGATGATGATATGAATATAAATACGGTACATACACCAAAATAATTTTTTTTCAAAATTTTGTCTGTCTGTTTGTTCTGACTAATCTCGGAAATGGCTGCACCGATTTTGACAGAACTTTTTTTGGCAGGTAACTAATGTAATAAGGAGTAACTTGGCTAGTTTTACGTTATAAAAATAAAGTTAAATCCCACGCGGACGAAGTCGCGTGTACAGATAATACAATATATAAGTACTTATGTCGTCTTTACAATATTACGCCGTTCTGACCGGTATGACGTCTTTAAGATTCTGCACCAACTCTATGTTCTAAGATTTTGCCTAAGCCTGTTCGAACTCGATGGGGGTAGGGGACTAGTGGTGGGGGAAGGAGACTAGTGGTGGGGGAAGGGAATTGTTAGTAATGTGGACTCATAACCCCATTACTACATAAATCCCTCTTCTGGGATAAGTCCGCCATTGTACGCATGTTTTTTTTTTCTATGTCAATTGTGTCCTTTTATTTATAATATTATTGTACAATAAAGTATTACAAACAAACTACCACCACGCGGTTCCCCCTGGAAACCACTGTGATAAATTCTTGGTGAATTTGTCACGATGGGCTAACTGACCTGACCTTGTGTTCATCTTATCATCCTCTACAGGTGCTTCGCCAGTGTAAACCGTTAGCGAAGGCGGGTGCACCATTCCATTGTCATCTATAAAAAATCCTGCTATAAAAGCGGACGAAGTCGCGGGCACAGTTAGTGGCAGCTCTATAATTATATCTTTGCTTCATAGTTAGATATCCGCCATTTTGAAACGATAATTATTACAAAAAGGCGTAAAGGAACGCGCGATTAATAACTCGGATCGATCGGAGGGGTCCCCCTCCGATCGATCCCCCGACCAATTCAAACGGGGACTGATGTTACGACGGCCTGAGCCGAGGTTCGAACCCCTAGCGGTGCCCTCAAACTAAAGTCGGATCCGTCAGGCGGGAGTTGGGCTTAACCGGTCTATAAGTCCTTCCGCGGGTTTGGAGTGCCATCTGCACTCGCCCCCTATCGTCCGGTGAAGCTGTAAAGGCCAGCTGCGGCCAACATTAGAGTAATCGAAAAAAAGAGAATATTTAATATTATAAACGGAAAAGTTTTTGAGTACGAATGGATGGATGTTTGTTACTCTTTCACGGAAAAACTACTGAACGAATTTTGATGAAACTTTATAGTAATATTACTTATGCAAATTGCCAAAATATAATGATAAATGTCAAGTAAGTGTGATGCTGACAGAATTGCGCGGGTCAGTTGGTATTTAATATTTTTATACTCATTGATTTTCAAGGATTGATTTTCCAAATTTTTAAAATCAATCAATAAATAACATAAATAATCAAGTAATACATCATCATAATTACATAATATCATAAAGTCACTGTCCCTGTCTGTCCCTATGTATGCTTAAATCTTTAAAACATTTTTACAATTTTTGTCTCTCTGTTTGTTTGTTCCGGCTAATCTCTGAAATGGCTAGACCGATTTTGACGGAACTTTTATTCTCGACGTAATAAGCTAATGTAATAAGGAGTAATTTAGGCTACTTTTATTTTAGAAAAATTAAGTAATAGTATAGTAAGAATTCGCAGACAACAGCTAGTTTTGTATAAAAATGAGAGAACCATAATGTTATGAAAACAGCTAACGTAAAATTTTGAATTCAGCTGTCTTTAGTGGACTGTATTTATGACAATTGGATTTGAGCAAGATTGATAATTTGGAAGGCACTCACCTTGTACTGCGAGGATTGCCGGTTCGGTTTCAGCAAGGCTTCCCAGAACTCCGGGCTTGTCCGAACTTACCTTTTGAACGGGTTACCTGTTTACCGCCAAAACCGACAATAGGTGTTTTCCAGTATCAACTTGCGTTCCTTTATTATTTCGTTAAGAATATTTAGTTAAGAAATCTATATAAAATAATTTAGTTAAGAAATCTATATAAAATATCGACAATTACGACAATTACGACAGCGATCATCAGAACACTCTTTTCGACAACGACAAAAAGCGAAAACGACTCCCACCCTCGTAATCTCTTTTTATTTTTTTACTTTTTTTTATTATTTACGGCATTGGATATCGCGATAATGTTGCCGTGCGTATTATTGTGAATAGTGAACATTCCGCCCACCTAAATGCAACGTATTTAAAGCGAAATAAACAAAAATTAAATGTGACAACAAAATAAAAACTATGGATCCTAATATTGATTGACATATTTTTAAACTAATTTTAACTAACTAGTGCGGGAAAAGAAAAACAATAATAACAAACAAAAAAAAGAATTACACATTTTAATTAGCCATAGGTAAAGGACAAATTTTAACAACTGGTCGTTTGTATTGACAAGTCGCAGTTTTAACTGTCACTACCCTACAAACACCATCAATTCCTGGGTGTAGAGCGACAATGCGACCCATAGTCCATTTTAAAGGACTCGATTGTTCATTTATGATTAGTACTAATGTGCCAATAGTTATATTAGTGTAATTTTTGTTCCATTTAGCTCTTTGATTAAGCGTATGAATATATTCACGTTGATAACGGCGCCAAAAGTCCTGATGCATTTTCTGAACTAACTTCCATCGTTGGAGAACGCTAATAGATTGATTAGTAATATTCTCTTCTGGAAGGGACGACAAGGGTTCTAATGTCAGAAAGTGACCTGGTGTCAAAACCGACAGATCATTAGCGTCACAGCTAATAGGCGATAGAGGTCGAGAATTCAACATAGATTCTATTTGTGTTAAAACTGTATAGAACTCTTCAAAGGTTAATCTTTGAAGACCAATAACTCGAGCTAGATGAGTTTTCACCGATTTTATACCCGCTTCTGCTAACCCATTAAAGTGTGGACTACCAGGAGGGCTTAACGAGAATTTAATTTCCTGAGTTTCTGTTACCTTTTTCATAACCGAGTCAAGATAATTGCTAGCCCCAACGAAATTTCTCCCCTGATCCGACACAATATGGCTACAACGACCTCTTCGCGCGATAAACCGCTTCAACACAGCTAAAAAGGCTTCAGTAGAAAGTTCCGACGCCAACTCGATGTGGATAGCTTTTGTGGCAGCACAAATAAAAACACAAATGTAACCTTTATACGTTTTTACGCCACGACCCCGACCTAATGCAATATCAAAAGGACCCCCGTAATCAACCACAACGTTCGAAAAGGGTTTTAACTGATTAACACGATATGTAGGCAGATTTCCCATAAGAGGAGTTGGAGCTGGTTGAGGTTTAACACGAAAACAATTTACACAATTAGCGATCACAGAACGAATCGCTCTCTTCGGCGACAAAATCCAAAAACTTTGCGCGAGAATATTAAGGAGAGTCTGTGCACCAGGGTGCATAAATCTCTGGTGACAATCTTCAATTATAAGTTGTGTGAGACGATGATTGCGAGGTAATAGAAGGGGATGTTTGATACTATAATCTACTTTAGCATTTGCCAAGCGTCCGCCCACCCTGACGAAACCCGCATCATCCAGAAATGGCGACAACTTACGAAAGTTTTTGGGTAGAGAATTTAACCGACCATTCCTAATCATATCAATTTCCTTAGAAAATGTATGTAACTGCACGTGTTTAATCAAAAACATTAAAGATTTGTTTATTTCTAACGACAATAAAGGACCAACAAAAATTTTATCAAAATTGTTTTTACGAGAATTATGAAGGAATCGAAAAGTAAACGACAATACACGTTTCACTTTGATAACGACGAGAATCTATTTATTAAGCAGTCAATAAAATGGACTTCAGAAGAAGTATGAAGACACATAATCTTCTGCTCTGCTTGCACATCAGCAGAAGATGGAATTAATGTAGACTCCGGCCAGTTTTCGTCTGGTTCCGAAAGCCATTTAGGTCCATTCCACCAATTCCCATTTTTAGCTAGCTCAGCTGGATAAATGCCACGTGATCCGACATCCGCAGGATTAAAATAGGTACTGACATGTCGCCAACAATCAGGAGAGATAAGTTCCTGAATGTGACTAACTCTATTAGCAACAAATGTATGCCATCTGGACGGGCAGGATTTTATCCACGACAAAGCAACACTAGAGTCAGACCAAGCAACGATATCTTTTATTTCACACAGAGGTTTTAAAGCACTTAACACCGAACTCATTAAATCTGCTAACAAAACTGCAGCTTGCAATTCCAGCCGAGGTAACGATAATTTACGAAGTGGTGCGACCTTAGTTTTTGCACAACAAAATTCAACAGAATAATGACCATTTGTATCGACAGACCGACAGTAAATAACAGCACAATATCCACGTTCTGAAGCATCACAGAATCCATGGAGTTGTACGGAGACGAAAGAACCTATCATACGACGGGTAATTGAAATAGACGACAAAGACGAAAGTTGTGATTTAAATTTCGACCACTGCTTAGCTATTTCCAGTGGCACATCGCTGTCCCAAGAAACACCTGAAGTCCAGAGTAATTGCATAAGAAACTTAGCATAAAATGTTACAGGACCGAGAAAACCCAACGGATCATAAATACGCGCAATATCTGATAGTATGACACGTTTCGTGAGCCGCCTCTCTTCAAATTCAGCAACCCTAAAAGTAAAACAATCTAAATTTGGTATCCACAAAAGCCCTAAAATTTTAAGTGTGATATCCGAAGTCTCTTCGAAGCTCTTAAATTCCTCTGAATACAAATCAGATGAATCGAGATCATTCAAGAAAGCTTTGTGATTAGAAGTCCATTTTCGTAAATGGAACCCATTCAACGACAATATTTTAGTTAGTTCTGATCTTATGACTAAACACTTTTCGATGGAATCAGCTCCTGACACAACATCGTCAACATAAATATCACGGCTAAGCACAGCTGATCCCGTTGGAAACTCAGCAGCGGCATCCTCAGCGATTTGAGCAATAGTGCGGAGTGCTTGATAAGGAGCAGAAGATACGCCATATGTGACTGTAAGGAGTTTATAGTCACGAATAGGCTCATCAGGAGACGATCGCCACAACACACGTTGATACTCCGAATCCTCATCAGAAATCAAAATTTGACGATACATTTGTTTAATGTCACCTGTAAACACTACAGCGTGACAACGGAAACGCAACAATAAATCAGTAATATTTAACTGAAGCTTAGGACCAGATAAAAGAGTGTCATTTAAGGAGATACCATTAGTATCCTTAGCGCTGGCGTCAAATACAACACGAAGAGGAGTAGTCACGGATTCAGGCCGCAATATACCATGGTGGGGAATGTAGTAAAACTTACCAAGATTTTCAGATGGAGGTTTCACTTCCAAAAGATGCCCACAATCTTTATAATCTTGCATGAAAGAACTATATTGCTGGCGAAACTCACAATTTCTCTTTAATTTATTTTGCAACGACAAAAACCTTTTCAGGGCTATATCTCGAGAATTAGAAAATATAGGTTTGCTATTAGGATCGACAAAAGGTAATGGAACAACAAACCTACCTTCCCGATTACGACAAGACTTTTCAACAAAATATTTCTCGCATCGATTGTCTTCCCTAGATAAAATCTTTGGTAACGATGCGATACTTTCCATCTCCCAAAACCTTCTAATACAATTATCTAATGACAAATTCGATATATTACATTGGGAAGTATCTGTTATAAGGAAACAATCCCCACGTGTATGGTGAAAACTATCAGTGCCGTTACATTCACCCATTAAAATCCAGCCGAAGACCGTCTGCAATGCACACGGCTGCCCTGCGACACCTCTTTTCAAACCAGGTAGTAAAGATGATACAAAAATACTAGCGTTCAATAAAATATCAATTGGTCCTGGGCAATCGAAATCAGGGTCAGCAAGTGGCAATTTTTTTATATGGTACCAATTTGAGGCATTAATATGCTGACTTGGTTGATCGGCACAAATTGACGACAACACCAAAGCTTTGAATTTAAGTTCACTTGATGAGAAGGAATTCGTCGGCTTTATTTCACAAACAGATGATCCAAGTGGTTTTGCTAAAGAATGACCAATACCACTGATTGACTGATTTGTTTTAGTTATAGGCAATTGTAACCTCTTGGCACAGGACTCCGAAATAAAATTACAAGCACTTGCGCAGTCTAATAATACACGAACGGTTTGATAATTACCCTGTCCATCTTTTATTAAAACTTTAGCTGTAGAGAATAAAACTGTTTTGCTATGACTAATATTTGCTATTGAAGTCAAAACAGTACTACTTGAGGCTTTTTCATCGACAACAGGAGCTTCAGGCTTAGGTTTATCAAAATGCAACAATGTATGGTGAGAATAATTACAGGCTTCACAACGATAAGTAGCACGACACTGTTTTAGGGTGTGATTATTCGAGAAACACAATAAACATAAACGATTTTCTTTAACAAAATCGAAACGTGATTTAACACTCAAGCTTATAAAATTTTCACATTTAGCCAGAACATGCTGTCCTTTACAAAATACACAAGCTGTATTAGACACTAAAAGAGATGATTTTGCCTTAAATTTTAATTGATTACCAACTTTGTACAAATTCGGATTAAACTTTGAACCCAATGACAACGAATTAACACTACTTAACTCTAAAGCCCTATAGTGTTTTTCAATAAAATTTTGTAGATGTTCAAACTTAGGTATACTGTGAACATCTTCTGTATTCTGTTCAAGTTGGAATGCTTCCCTTGTAGATTTATCCAATTTTGACCACAACAAATGGAACAACATAAAATTCTTATCTGGCAATTTATATTTATCTAGAATAGCCAAATTTTCTGAAAATGTACGATAAATGCGTTCAAGTTCTGAACTGGTCTTAAATTTAATGGGTTCACAATATAGCAACTTCTCATAATAAGCTGGAGCGATTTGTCGCTGTCTGTTATAATATTTCAAAAGAGTTTCATAAGCATTTAGATAATTTTCATTAGTGAGAGGATAATTCTTAATCAAATCGTAAGCTTTACCCTGTACACTTGACAATAAATAATGTAACTTCTCCACATTTGATATATTCGTCCTATTATGAATAATCGAATTATATAATTGAATAAAGGAAATCCAATTATCCAAATTACTATCAAACGGTTTTATATTGATTTTGGGTAATTTTACGGAAACTTGTGGTTCACTGTTATTAACATTTATATTAGAAATAGATTTTTTATCTATAGAATTCATTTCTACAAATCTTTGTTTAATTTGTTTCATCTTTGTATCAAACTTAACTGTAATTTCAAGTTCATTGGTACGCTCTAAACGGTTCAACGATAACAACAATTTTCGCTGCGATGAGTGAAATTCGTTAGATAAATCCCTAAAATCTACTTCAGAGAGCCCTAACAAATCAGATTGCTCCATAATTTCCAATCTCATTACCGCATAATCACGAGAAATTCGGTTTATATCACCAGTATCAGATTCAATGTCTTTATTAGTTGCCATGGTATAAATACTCCAAATTAATAAAAAAAAATTAATTAAAATCAATAAAACGATAATTACGTGAAATAATTTACAATTAGATATTTTTACCCAATAATACGCAACGAAAACAAAATCGATCGATTTAAATTTAATATAATCGATATGGCTGTATGTGGCTGGTCTATGCCTCACGAAAATTCAAATTATTAAAAAAAGTTAAGTTACACTATAATAAATTATCTACCTTCAACTACAATGACTTTTATTGAATTATATTAAAACGAACGCAATAATAATTTATTTTACTCGACAAAATGTGTAAAACAAATTAACAACAATAATTATTATGTCGCCTATCAAAACTATCCGGCTGAAGGGCCAAAAAATGTTATGAAAACAGCTAACGTAAAATTTTGAATTCAGCTGTCTTTAGTGGACTGTATTTATGACAATTGGATTTGAGCAAGATTGATAATTTGGAAGGCACTCACCTTGTACTGCGAGGATTGCCGGTTCGGTTTCAGCAAGGCTTCCCAGAACTCCGGGCTTGTCCGAACTTACCTTTTGAACGGGTTACCTGTTTACCGCCAAAACCGACAATAGGTGTTTTCCAGTATCAACTTGCGTTCCTTTATTATTTCGTTAAGAATATTTAGTTAAGAAATCTATATAAAATAATTTAGTTAAGAAATCTATATAAAATATCGACAATTACGACAATTACGACAGCGATCATCAGAACACTCTTTTCGACAACGACAAAAAGCGAAAACGACTCCCACCCTCGTAATCTCTTTTTATTTTTTTACTTTTTTTTATTATTTACGGCATTGGATATCGCGATAATGTTGCCGTGCGTATTATTGTGAATAGTGAACACATAATAATATCACCCGTGGTATGCCAGAGTAAAAAACTAGTGGAAAATAAGCTGTAAGAACCCAGAACTATAAAAGTTAACAACCAACTTTTACGATTCGTTGCGCAACCTTATACGTTAGTAGCAAACGATGAAATATCGAGGCGGATGGTCGCAACGGAGCGGCCGGCTCAATTAATAATGATATACTGTACCTCCGGGACGAATAGTTGCAGGCTCCTCTTGCCGATATAACGTGTGATCTCGAATTCCGTAACGCTGTACAACTAATAAATAATACTACCGCCCTACGGCAAGAGCTGTACTCTTGTGGCCCTACTTGTGCTAATTACATTAAAAAATATGCTATTTTTTTCTTATTTAGTTTGTCCTTGTGGCCCTACTTGTGCTAATTACATTAAAAAATATGCTATTTTTTTCTTATTTAGTTTGTCCTTGTGGCCCTACTTGTGCTAATTACATTAAAAATATACTATTTTTTGCTTACTTAGTTTGTCCTTGTGGCCCTACTTATGTTAATTACATTAAAAATATACTATTTTTTGCTTACTTAGCTTGTCCTTGTGGCCCTACTTATGTTAATTACATTAAAAATATACTATTTTTTGCTTACTTAGCTTGTCCTTGTGGCCCTACTTATACTTTAAAAAAAAAATATTCAAATATCATTTATTCATGTAGGTCATTTTAGCCGCTTATGAACGTCAAGTTTTTACATTATAATTTTGTTTCCCTACCGTCGGTCGTTTTTAAACTATACTTATACATAAAAAAATATGCTACTTGTTTGCTTAGTTATGTAGTTGTTTTGTATTTTTTGTATTGTACAGTAAAACACTTAATATGAAAAGATACAAAGATTTTCTTTATATAGTACACTAGCTCTGCCTGCGGTTTTCCGCGTGAAATTTATAGCCTATATGTTATTCTGATGTATAAGCTACATTACTGTAAAGTTTCATAAAAATCCGTTCACTAGTCTTTGTGTGTGACAAACATCCATCTATACTCACAAACTTTCACGTTTATAATATTAATACTAACTTTCAAACTAGCTTTTGCCCGCGGCTTTGCTCACGTTAATTTATCCCCTTTATGTGGGGTGGAATTTATCAAAATCTTTTCTTAGTGTACGTAGTAGCTTTATGCAAGCAAAATCTCAGCCCGATCGGTTTAAAAATTATAATGAATAATTTTTAAACCGATCGGGTCGGTCGGGAGTTCGGGACTGATAAATTGCACCCCAAAAGGGGTGGAATTTATCAATCAAAACAAATTAACGCGAGCGAATTTAATGTATAATACGAGTATTTTTTGTTTTTTTTTTTGCGCCCTTCGGCTGTAGACTTTTATAACTATTAATTTGTAAATACAAAAGTCATTTCAGTTCTATTTATTTGTACAGGGCAGTTGGCTCAGAGTTGTTTTCCAATTCAATATAAATCTTTTGTTTGTAGAGTCACGAAAATAATTAATAACTATGCACCGTTTATTTCACTCGCATTATATTTCCATCTGAAAAACTTTCCCGTGGTAATAAGCTTAATTTATCCGACGAGATCTATGCGCTCGGTTCAACTAAATCCATTAAAGCTAAACTAATTTATACGTGCATGTATGATAACCTTATTCCGTATACGTAAGGTTGTTTTTATGAGGTCTGTTGACTATTTAAATTTGCAACAAGTTGTTGCATATATCGGTTTTCGACTTCATGTCGTCGGCAGTGCTGCCTATATACTGCTAAGGTAAATATGATATTTGATCTAACATTTATATTAGTTTGTCTTATATAAGTTGGTAAATTAAAATATGGGTATTATATTATATTATTTATTTATATAACTTCAATGCACAAAATACCAAGGTAAAAGTAGCGAGCACAATAGATCTATGTAGGTCGCAGTGCTACAGGTGCTACACATCTGACAATAGCCCAAACAATCCAATAAAAAAAAAGGTAAAAGTACATATGGCAGACTTAACGCCTTACGGCATTTTCTACCAGTCAACCACAGGATGTGCAGAGAAACTGTAGGCGGTGCAAATGTAATCAATAAGAAAACTAATACCTATGTAATAAATAATATATATTTACTAAACGTAAGTACATGTAAACATACATATACAAATACATACAATATATATAAAGCTATAGATGAATATGAATAAAATACATACCTAAATATACCATATACATATCATATAACATACTTAATAGTCTGACAATGAAATAGCAACAGCAGATAGAACATAACAAAAAAAAACAAATTCAGCAACTATAACATAGAAAAGATGTACAAATAACAATGAGTCTCACAAAAATATAAAATGGAAAATTATTCTACATAATAGAAGAGTTACATGCTGGAATAGAATTACCACAATTTACGCTTTAAAGAAAAATATTTTTTATTATATGTATGAATCATTGGTAATCAACGTCTATGTGACAGACTCGACCCATTGGCTTTGCGGCGAGATATTGCATCTCTGTGCATTTTCTACCGCATATATACGGGGAGTGTTCTGAGGAATTGTTCGGATTAATACCAGCTGCTGAGTTTCATCACCGTACCACCCGCCAGAAACTGAAATACCATCCTGATCATCTGGGTGAATGGCGGTCTTCCACAGTGCAGTTTTCTAGAAACTTCTTGCCTCGCACAACCACATTATGGAATCACCTTCCAGCAATGGTATTTCTGAACCAATACGATATCGAAACCTTCAATAAAAGAGCTTATTCCTTTTTAAAAGGCCGACAACGTACTTGCTATTCCCCTGGTGTTGCGGGTGCTCATGGGCGGCGGTAATCACTTACATACCATCAGGTGAGCCGCATGCTCGTTTGTCCCCTGTGTTATAAAAAAAATGTGAGTGTATTTAATTTAATATTAATTATTGATATTATTTGTATTTTATTTGTGTGTGTGTATTTTGTGTTTGTATGTACTAACGTTAATTATAAGAAATCTGTAATACTAACAAAATGGGAAAGTAAGCCTGATAATAAATGAATTATTATTATTACTATATTCAAATATAATAATAATAGTAACATACGTTTATTTTCTAAATCAAAATTAAAATATCTTAATTCATGTAGGTCTATTACAGAGTCTTATGGTACCGTCAGTTCGGAATGATTTCGAACTGAGAAAAACTGACAAGAAACACAGCTCGTATTCTTTTTAAATAAAGTTTTATATATTTATTATAATACAGATTAATTTTTTAATTCTAATTGGGGAGAAAAAATATGGCATATGGCAATAAAGCCTGTGCTATTGCAATTTTGTTAAAAACAGAAGTCTACTTAAAAGTTTACTTAAAAATAAAAATGTACAATAAACTATCAAATAAAACAATGCAATTAACATCAACAGAATTTAAGAACAAAATAAAATCATTTTTCGAACAACATCCTTTTTACAATGTGACGGAATATCTGAATTCCAATGTACAATTCTGACATTTTCCATTAAGTAACTTTTATTACTATGTTATATATTATTTAATTTATTATTTTGTATACTTAAAATTGTAATTGTGACATAATTATCTTGAAAATGTAAACTATTGACATGCTGTTGTGTAACGAGATTTGTTACATTTGTGAATAAAGTAATATGAAATAATATGAAATATGAAATAAGTCTAATCTATTCAACTATTATTGCCAATAACATGCATGTAAATATATATTAAACTAGCTTTTTCCCGCGGCTTCACTCGTTAATTTATCCCCTTAGGGGTGGAATTTATCAAAATCCTTTCTTAGGGGATGCCTACGTCATAGTAGCTTTATGCAAAGTCTCAGGTTTAAAATTGACAAAGTTTCATACAAACTTTCATCCCCTATTTTGTCCCCTTGGGGGTAGAATTAATTAAAATCCTTTCTTAGCGGATGCCTACGTCATAACATCTACGTGCATGCCAAATTCCAGCCCGATCCGTCCCGTGGTTTGGGATGTGCGTTGATAGATGACTATGTCAGTCACCTTTGAGTTATATATATTTAGATTAAATTGGCAGCATGTATACGTATATACACACGTACATATCGACGGAAGAAAGCGAAATTATCGTAACTTGAAAAACCCAATTTAACAAATTTTTTTTTAGATTATTCTAT